ATATTTGTTCTCAAATGGATCCACAGGATTATAATTGTTCAGTGGAGTTCTTCCGATCACCATTTCTAGTTCAAGAATGGGAGATGCCAGATGCAAATGGATCGCTAAAGGAGACACTTCGCCTTGATTTGATCGAGAGGTCCTCTGATAAGTACAAAAGTGCAGATGTTCTCATCTTCAACACAGGTCACTGGTGGACTCATGAGAAAACTTCCAGAGGGTAAGACCCATTCCCCCTGTCAATCTGTGTCATTGATTTTATGAAACTGGCCTGGAATACTACAAAAACATAATCATATTGCAGGAAAGGTTACTATCAAGAGGGTAGCCATATCTACGGTGAATTGAATGTTAAAGAGGCATTTCGGAAAGCTCTAATGACATGGGCAAGATGGGTTGACGTCAATATAAATCTTGAGAAAACTATTGTTTTCTTCCGGGGCTATTCGCCTAATCACTTTAGGTAACCACGTGAAGTAGTTTTAACTTTCAGAACCTCATGGTTGGTTAACAAATATACAGCATCTTAGTAATCTTTTTACCCTTCACAGAGGTGGAAGATGGAATTCTGGAGGTCAATGTCATGGTGAGACAGAGCCAACTGCAAAAGAAGCAAACAAAGGAAAATATATGTCGAAAATGAGAATCTTGGACTCGGTAATCACAGAAATGAAGACGCCAATCTTCTATCTGAACATTACAAGAATGACTGATTTTAGGAGGGATGCTCATCCATCAATTTATAGAAAGCAGAATTTCACAGAGGAGGAGAGAAAATCTCCTTTGAGATACCAGGATTGCAGTCACTGGTGCCTCCCTGGTGTTCCTGACACATGGAACGAGCTTCTATATGCTCAGCTCATTAGACATAACCAGAAGCAACAAAAACAGCAGCATCAAGAACAGCAGCAGGGGAGACCCTAGATAAATGATAAATCAGATGCCCTGTTTATATGGATCATGTTAACAAAGATTTGGAGAAAATGTTTTCTGTCGTATTTCTCCATAGAAAAGTAGGAGAAAAAAAGTTATAATTAGGGAAGGTGTGTGCAGGCTGTAAATGATTGTCTTTGAACATGTGGGAAAGAAGTGGAGATCAACAATAGGGCATGGTTTAGTGTACTAGCCACCAGGATGTAGGAGGGGATTGTTCTCCATTAGCCACTCATGGTTTTTACATTGTAAATTTCATACTTAATTTCTAATGACATGATGTAAACACAAGTCTCAGTAATTTAAGCTTATAATATCTTTGTGCACTGGATGTGGTTGATAATTGTAAATCATGTCATAGCTTTATTCAAGAAGTTTCATAGAAAGAGATGAGCTCGTAGCCATATAAGCTTGAACATGAACTTGTAGCCATGATCATCATCGTATCAGGCATAAAGCTTTATTAGTTTTACATAGCCATAACTTTTTATTAATACTCGGCTATCAAAGTAGCAGATGATCCATACAAATCTCCATTAACCCTCCTGCAGTTCAATCGAATTTCTCCATCAGTTCCGGTCAGAAGGCTTATATTCCCCATTTTAATCATGGATTTCACAAAGCTCTCAAAGAAGGCGCCCTGTTTAACGCTGAAGTTGTTAACAATGTTGATCGTATCAGCCCCGCTGGTCGAAAACAGCTCTTGATCGCTTTGGAGAAGGCCCTTACGAACTTGAAGATTAGAGAAATACTTGCCGTCGAAAGTGTTAGGTGTTGAAGGATCTAAGTTAGCTAGCACACTCGCATTCCCGTTCTGGGGGCATAACTCTCTCAGTGTTTCTAAGTAGGTTGAGTTTAATGTCGGATCAGGAAGGCCTGTGCTGTTGAAGTCATACAGTCGACTGCTGAAAGCTTGACATTTAGCACGCCCAAATGTGTGAGCACCTGTGAATTATATATTACATATATGCATGTCAAATTTTGTCACTAAAAAAAGCAACACAGATACTGTATGGTTCCTTCAATTCTTTATTTTTTCTTCCTTACCGGATAGTGCAACCAGATCAGCGGTGTCGAGGCCTACAGCTGCGAACTTGGCTTTGAGTCCGTCAAGGGTCAAAGTGGGACCTGGAATGGCTTCGTTGGCAGCCGTGCGATTCGCTGTTGTGCTATCCCTTCTTCCTAATGCAACTTGCCACGAGGGGCCTCCAGACTGCAACCATAAAATTAATTTCAAGAAGAGATCGATATAGAAGAACAAAATGAAGGCATATATTGTTTTTGAAATATGCACCAAAGAAACAGATTCTTCGGCTGCAATGGCGAGAATATCAGCACAGGAAACAATGCCGGGACAAGCAGTCTCCAATGCAGTCTTGATGTTGTCCACAACATCAAATCCTCTTGCTGAGTTGTTATTTGCAACTGCTGCTTTCTCGCTGTCTATGGTACTGGAAGGGCTGCTACTGTTGTCCAACAAGATTGATCCATCACAACCCTGAAATTAATACAACCAACAAGTTTTGTGATCTTCCCAACAATATATTCACCAATGTTTTCAAATATCTAAGTGGTTGCTTAATTATGTTAGGATAAATTTTGTTCGTTTTCGAATGATTAATCGTGGTCGGTGTCCAAATTCCAAATTCCGAAATTAGTTGTTTTAAGTTAAATAAGTTCTTCAGCTTAAATCTAAGCTCATCAGTTTGAGTCCTCGGATGAATGGAGCATTTGATCATGAAGAAGAACATGTACTTAGAAGTAAAAGTAAAAGAGCAGGAGATGAAATATGTACGTTGACGAAGCAGTCATGGAAGTGAAGCCTGATGAGGCTGGCAGCAATCCGGGGATCTGTCTGCAAAGCGTCTAGAATGACACCACGCACAATGGTTGCGGCGCATGGGCAGACTTCATCATAAAACGTAGTGGTCAGCTGAGCCTCACCATATCCTGCACCTGCACACAAGATTAATAATATCGCAAACAAAATACTTGCCGAAATTTTAATATTGTGATTATTTTGAGAAGCAGAAGAAGAAGAAGAAGAAGAAGAAGAAGAAGAAGAAGAAGAAGAAGAAGAAGAAGAAGAAGAAGAAGAAGAAGAAGAAGAAGAAGAAGAAGAAGAAGAAGAAGAAGAAGAAGAAGAAGAAGAAGAAGAAGAAGAAGAAGAAGAAGAAGAAGAAGAAGAAGAAGAAGAAGAAGAAGAAGAAGAAGAAGAAGAAGAAGAAGAAGAAGAAGAAGAAGAAGAAGAAGAAGAAGAAGAAGAAGAAGGCTTTTTCTCAGATAGACTCATCTCTTTAACTTATGTTAATCAATGCATATGAGAGAACAGTAGTCGTAGTTCTATATATAACCTAAGCTTTATTTATAGCGTGACAAATAGTTAAATGGTTTCAAGTACCTATATCAAACTTAAAATGGGAAACACGTACGTTATGCAGATGAGTCACTGTTTTGGCAGTTCAACTTTAACTTTTGATCAATAAATATCTACCCCTTATACACTTTTTTACTATTTGCAAAGCAAAGTGACGCCTTCTAAACGAGGAATGGAAACTTTACTCAAAAAGGAAAAATCATTGAGGGAAACTTACAGGAATGCCATGTGTGGCGATATCTATATAATAATACGTGATTGGTTTGTGATACTGTGTGATGAGAGTGTTTGTCCCATATTGAAAAGTTAAGGGACTTTATTAGCATGGGTTTATAAGAAGTTGGACTACTCCCCTATAGTCAATTGATTTTGGATTGAACCTCAACTTCCGTTGCTATTACAGTGACATCACATCGTATGAAAGTTCTTCTCCCACTAAATGATATATTGGAGGATGAATTAATGTAGATCAATTTTCTTTTGGTCTGCTGTTGCTTAACTTTCGATTTAAGTATTGTATCGTAACAGATCATTGTTTCATGAAATCAAGAAAGTAAGCAATTGTGTTATATGTACTATCATGGCTACAATGATCAGATTGGAAGTTAATTCAAATGAAGACAAACATGAGATTGATCATGCCTTAGTTATAATATCTCTAGAAATTTAAACCTACTACAACTACTCTGGTTTGATTTTTCATAATTAGTATGAAGTTTAAAATGAGTTGAAATTCAAATTTATTTACCCAAAGAGAAAAAAAAAAGTTTAAAGTTGAAAATGAGTTGTATAATTGAGGAATTTATGCCTTTGCTCTTTTTTCTTCCATAAAAAACATGTGCCTTTACTTTATTTCATCAGAAAGAAAAAATGCTCTTTTACTTTAATAAAGTGTGTTGGACCGCCAGGGCACATGCCTCATTTTTTGGACATGAGATAAGAGTCAGAGTGGTGATGCTCATTTGCAGTGGGGTTATATATGCCTAATATCAGTGAGTCAGTGACGTATTAAGTTTACCGAAAAAAGTATCTACCAAAAATTGAGAGTGTATAAAAAACTATAGATTAGTAATTTAGTACCAAGCAATACATTCTCCCGCAACACATAGACTTCGTTTGTTAAGGAGGATTAGACTAGACTTGTGTTGGACTAGAATGTTTCATTGTAAATGTATGAGGAAAATCTCTCACGATCTTAAGTACGTATTTATATTGTACGGTGGTGATAAGACATACATGCTCAGTTATGAGGTATCGATAAGACATTGTTCACTTATGATTATTGCAAGAAAGTCCACATAATTAGGTATCGATAAGGCATACATGCTTTTGGAAAAGGTTTGGAAAAGGTTCAACTTTGAGGTTTATTCGAAATCATCAATGGGTCGAAAGGAGATTTCGGAATATTCAAAACAGGGTGCATGCATATGCACACGACAAGCTGTGAGTACTAATAAATTACTAATGGGCCACAGAATTATATGGCTCAGTCACTTATTTGCCAATGGGGAAGATGACTGACTGGTTTATCAGTTTCCGTGATTGACGATCGAGGGTTGAAGACTTGATGTAAAAACTATTTTCTCCTTTTGGGAAAATAAATGTATTTAATGGCTGGCTGATATGGCAAAATATAATGTAGAGCCTTGCATAATATAAACAATAAGAAATCAAATTACAGCTCCAATTATTTCTTTATTATATGATCATCAGCATGTCTCTCACTGCCTAACAATTACAATATGATGATTTCAATTGACTCTTTTGCAATCAGACCTAATCTCTCCATCACTGCCCGTCAAAGGTCGAATGTTTCCCATATTGATCATGGACTGACCAAAGCTATCAAAGAAGTCGCTTTGGCTACGAAGAAGAAGAAGAAGAAGAAGAAGAAGAAGAAGAAGGCTTTTTCTCAGATAGACTCATCTCTTTAACTTATGTTAATCAATGCATATGAGAGAACAGTAGTCGTAGTTCTATATATAACCTAAGCTTTATTTATAGCGTGACAAATAGTTAAATGGTTTCAAGTACCTATATCAAACTTAAAATGGGAAACACGTACGTTATGCAGATGAGTCACTGTTTTGGCAGTTCAACTTTAACTTTTGATCAATAAATATCTACCCCTTATACACTTTTTTACTATTTGCAAAGCAAAGTGACGCCTTCTAAACGAGGAATGGAAACTTTACTCAAAAAGGAAAAATCATTGAGGGAAACTTACAGGAATGCCATGTGTGGCGATATCTATATAATAATACGTGATTGGTTTGTGATACTGTGTGATGAGAGTGTTTGTCCCATATTGAAAAGTTAAGGGACTTTATTAGCATGGGTTTATAAGAAGTTGGACTACTCCCCTATAGTCAATTGATTTTGGATTGAACCTCAACTTCCGTTGCTATTACAGTGACATCACATCGTATGAAAGTTCTTCTCCCACTAAATGATATATTGGAGGATGAATTAATGTAGATCAATTTTCTTTTGGTCTGCTGTTGCTTAACTTTCGATTTAAGTATTGTATCGTAACAGATCATTGTTTCATGAAATCAAGAAAGTAAGCAATTGTGTTATATGTACTATCATGGCTACAATGATCAGATTGGAAGTTAATTCAAATGAAGACAAACATGAGATTGATCATGCCTTAGTTATAATATCTCTAGAAATTTAAACCTACTACAACTACTCTGGTTTGATTTTTCATAATTAGTATGAAGTTTAAAATGAGTTGAAATTCAAATTTATTTACCCAAAGAGAAAAAAAAAAGTTTAAAGTTGAAAATGAGTTGTATAATTGAGGAATTTATGCCTTTGCTCTTTTTTCTTCCATAAAAAACATGTGCCTTTACTTTATTTCATCAGAAAGAAAAAATGCTCTTTTACTTTAATAAAGTGTGTTGGACCGCCAGGGCACATGCCTCATTTTTTGGACATGAGATAAGAGTCAGAGTGGTGATGCTCATTTGCAGTGGGGTTATATATGCCTAATATCAGTGAGTCAGTGACGTATATAAGTTTACCGAAAAAAGTATCTAACAAAAATTGAGAGTGTATAAAAAACTATAGATTAGTAATTTAGTACCAAGCAATACATTCTTCCGTTACACATAGACTTCGTTTGTTAAGATATGAAGTTTAAAATGAGTTGAAATTCAAATTTATTTACCCAAAGAGAAAAAAAAAAGTTTAAAGTTGAAAATGAGTTGTATAATTGAGGAATTTATGCCTTTGCTCTTTTTTCTTCCATAAAAAACATGTGCCTTTACTTTATTTCATCAGAAAGAAAAAATGCTCTTTTACTTTAATAAAGTGTGTTGGACCGCCAGGGCACATGCCTCATTTTTTGGACATGAGATAAGAGTCAGAGTGGTGATGCTCATTTGCAGTGGGGTTATATATGCCTAATATCAGTGAGTCAGTGACGTATTAAGTTTACCGAAAAAAGTATCTACCAAAAATTGAGAGTGTATAAAAAACTATAGATTAGTAATTTAGTACCAAGCAATACATTCTCCCGCAACACATAGACTTCGTTTGTTAAGGAGGATTAGACTAGACTTGTGTTGGACTAGAATGTTTCATTGTAAATGTATGAGGAAAATCTCTCACGATCTTAAGTACGTATTTATATTGTACGGTGGTGATAAGACATACATGCTCAGTTATGAGGTATCGATAAGACATTGTTCACTTATGATTATTGCAAGAAAGTCCACATAATTAGGTATCGATAAGGCATACATGCTTTTGGAAAAGGTTTGGAAAAGGTTCAACTTTGAGGTTTATTCGAAATCATCAATGGGTCGAAAGGAGATTTCGGAATATTCAAAACATGGTGCATGCATATGCACACGACAAGCTGTGAGTACTAATAAATTACTAATGGGCCACAGAATTATATGGCTCAGTCACTTATTTGCTAATGGGGAAGATGACTGACTGGTTTATCAGTTTCCGTGATTGACGATCGAGGGTTGAAGACTTGATGTAAAAACTATTTTCTCCTTTTGGGAAAATAAATGTATTTAATGGCTGGCTGATATGGCAAAATATAATGTAGAGCCTTGCATAATATAAACAATAAGAAGGTCAAGATCCGCCAATGTACCTCCATTGCCGCCGTTAGGACATATTTGCCGTAGCGTTTCTAAGTATGCTGTGTCTATGGTCGGGTCGGGGTTCCCCGAGCCACTGAAATTGTACAGACGGTGGACGAAAGTAACACATCTTGCCCGCCCAAATGTATGAGCACCTGAGAAACCAAACGGTCACATATCTTTGCAAATTTATACCTAGAACAGTTACATTATAGCTATAGTGATCAGTTATATACCTGATAAAGCAACCAGATCAGTGGAATCTAATCCTACGTCGCTGAATTTTTTTGTAATTTGCTCAAGGTTTTCAAAAGGGCTTGGAATGGCAGTGGTACCAGCTCGGTTGGCTGTCCTACTGTCTCTTCTTCCCAGTTGAACTTCCCACGTTGGGCCTCCATTCTGTAACATTCATAAATAATATATGATTAAGGACAAGAAAGAAAAATATATATACATATATATATATGAGGAACCATGTAACATTACCGCAGAAACCAATATTTGAGAAGCAATTGCTAAAATGTCGGCACAGGAGACAACACCAGGGCAAACATTCTCGAGTGCAGTTTTGATGTCATCAACCACATCATATCCATCTGTGGATTGATTGGGAACTGCATCTTTCTCACTGTCTATGCCATCTGCGTTGTCCAGCATAATCGAACCATCACACCCCTGCATCTTCAATTAATTAATTAGTATTTCACATGGTTAACATTAACATACATCTCATTATTTAGACAAATCACAATTTGACATGTATACGAAAAAAAATTCTTTTTTGTATTTTTACTTACGTTGACAAAGCAGTCATGGAAATGAACCCGGATGAGTTTAGCACCAATACGAATATCATTTTGTTGAGCTTGCTCCACCACACCACGAACAACGCTGGTTACATTTGGGCATGTGGTAGTATAGAAAGTTGAGCTTAGTTGAGCGTTGGAATTTTCCAACACACAAATAGTAACAAGAATAATTGCTGCTACAATTGAAATTAATGATGAAGACATGATGGTATGAGGAAAACGAATTTAAGAGGTTGCTATAGTTAGTAGCTCTAACTTGGGATGATTGAAGACTAATATCTCTACCCTTATATAGGGAAAGTATAAGCCTATTATTAGGTGAGACGGTGCACCTCTAAGCTCTAGGCATGCATTTTGTGCATGCTAATCAAATATGATCAAAGAGATCCGACCGTTGAAAATTCATATGTAGGAATCTTCAGATATGATGTGGCCCTACCCTACTACAGAAATCATGAACTTTTCTACGTAAAGCTTTAGTTAAAGAATTTTCAAAAGTCCAGTGGAGGGCGCGAATATTTTAACGAAGATATATGTATAATATTTCAAAAGTCCAATGTCGCATGCTCAGTTATGAGGTATCGATAAGACATTGTTCACTTATGATTATTGCAAGAAAGTCCACATAATTAGGTATCGATAAGGCATACATGCTTTTGGAAAAGGTTTGGAAAAGGTTCAACTTTGAGGTTTATTCGAAATCATCAATGGGTCGAAAGGAGATTTCGGAATATTCAAAACAGGGTGCATGCATATGCACACGACAAGCTGTGAGTACTAATAAATTACTAATGGGCCACAGAATTATATGGCTCAGTCACTTATTTGCCAATGGGGAAGATGACTGACTGGTTTATCAGTTTCCGTGATTGACGATCGAGGGTTGAAGACTTGATGTAAAAACTATTTTCTCCTTTTGGGAAAATAAATGTATTTAATGGCTGGCTGATATGGCAAAATATAATGTAGAGCCTTGCATAATATAAACAATAAGAAATCAAATTACAGCTCCAATTATTTCTTTATTATATGATCATCAGCATGTCTCTCACTGCCTAACAATTACAATATGATGATTTCAATTGACTCTTTTGCAATCAGACCTAATCTCTCCATCACTGCCCGTCAAAGGTCGAATGTTTCCCATATTGATCATGGACTGATCAAAGCTATCAAAGAAGTCGCTTTGGCTATTAGCAAAGCGGTTCACAATGGCAACAGTGTCTCCGCTAGTTGAGAATAGCTCCTGATCCGTTTGGAGAAGCCCGCGCTTGTTTTGGAGGTTTGTGAAGTAGTTGTTGTCGAACCCGTCACGGGTTGATTGGTCAAGATCCGCCAATGTACCTCCATTGCCGCCGTTAGGACATATTTGCCGTAGCGTTTCTAAGTATGCTGTGTCTATGGTCGGGTCGGGGTTCCCCGAGCCACTGAAATTGTACAGACGGTGGACGAAAGTAACACATCTTGCCCGCCCAAATGTATGAGCACCTGAGAAACCAAACGGTCACATATCTTTGCAAATTTATACCTAGAACAGTTACATTATAGCTATAGTGATCAGTTATATACCTGATAAAGCAACCAGATCAGTGGAATCTAATCCTACGTCGCTGAATTTTTTTGTAATTTGCTCAAGGTTTTCAAAAGGGCTTGGAATGGCAGTGGTACCAGCTCGGTTGGCTGTCCTACTGTCTCTTCTTCCCAGTTGAACTTCCCACGTTGGGCCTCCATTCTGTAACATTCATAAATAATATATGATTAAGGACAAGAAAGAAAAATATATATACATATATATATATGAGGAACCATGTAACATTACCGCAGAAACCAATATTTGAGAAGCAATTGCTAAAATGTCGGCACAGGAGACAACACCAGGGCAAACATTCTCGAGTGCAGTTTTGATGTCATCAACCACATCATATCCATCTGTGGATTGATTGGGAACTGCATCTTTCTCACTGTCTATGCCATCTGCGTTGTCCAGCATAATCGAACCATCACACCCCTGCATCTTCAATTAATTAATTAGTATTTCACATGGTTAACATTAACATACATCTCATTATTTAGACAAATCACAATTTGACATGTATACGAAAAAAAATTCTTTTTTGTATTTTTACTTACGTTGACAAAGCAGTCATGGAAATGAACCCGGATGAGTTTAGCACCAATACGAATATCATTTTGTTGAGCTTGCTCCACCACACCACGAACAACGCTGGTTACATTTGGGCATGTGGTAGTATAGAAAGTTGAGCTTAGTTGAGCGTTGGAATTTTCCAACACACAAATAGTAACAAGAATAATTGCTGCTACAATTGAAATTAATGATGAAGACATGATGGTATGAGGAAAACGAATTTAAGAGGTTGCTATAGTTAGTAGCTCTAACTTGGGATGATTGAAGACTAATATCTCTACCCTTATATAGGGAAAGTATAAGCCTATTATTAGGTGAGACGGTGCACCTCTAAGCTCTAGGCATGCATTTTGTGCATGCTAATCAAATATGATCAAAGAGATCCGACCGTTGAAAATTCATATGTAGGAATCTTCAGATATGATGTGGCCCTACCCTACTACAGAAATCATGAACTTTTCTACGTAAAGCTTTAGTTAAAGAATTTTCAAAAGTCCAGTGGAGGGCGCGAATATTTTAACGAAGATATATGTATAATATTTCAAAAGTCCAATGTCGATATATATAATCTTGTGTCTATTCTCCTTCTTTTGTATCCAATAATTAATAATTTAGCAGAGCAAGAATTGGTCACGAAGCAATGATTGTGCACTTGATGGGGGTTTAAGACACTTTTTTCCCAAGTTCGCAAATGCCTGCTTTTCAGATCCATATATGTTTTGGAGAACATTTTCCTTAAATTTTCTATGTAGCACGCATGAGTGTGATCAGGTTTATCATACGTATTTTGGATGATCAAATATAAACTATTACAACATGATACATTGGTAGTGTGTGTATGTGTGAGAAATCTCTATCCCTTGTAGTTTAGATTATCGCTTGTATTAAACTGTTACACATACATAGACCAATGATGTAGTTTAGACTATCGCTTGTATTAAACTGTTACACATACTTGGACCAAAATTTGAAGAATTTAATTATAAAGGAAGTTAATATTAGACCCTTAATGATTAGATCAATAATTAGTGTAGATATATTTCAACATGAAGTAGCTAGCTAGAGCAGTGAACGTTTCTTCTAGGCTATACTTTTTCAAATATTGGATATATGCCGTGCAGGAGATCTAGGATGCATATATATATCGAGTCTAGCATTCTAGAAATTCTGTATATGTAGTAGTCAATATAATCGAAAGACTTTAATTAGTTTGTCAAACCGCGTGGTATAGCTGTGGCCACACCCACACCACATCACTTTAATTAGTCTCATGAATATCATCTCATCTCATCTCTCAAAATGGATGATCTATTCATTACTTAAAATATAGTAATTACATATATATCCCATATACATCCAAGCTCGCCTCCTAAATTTGACTACCATAAATACAATCCAAGTTTATAACATTGTCTGATTACAACGTTCTTCGATCTTATGCAATGATCAATTAAGGTAGTTACATAAGATTTATGTATAAATATTGTGCAAATTCAGAGTAACATCCATCCTTGAAAAAAGAAAAAGAAGATAAAATAAGAGTTGGTGCTCTCCAGCCCCTCATTAATTTGACTTTATTATCTCATTATAGTAATATTTAACGTCACCCGGTAATGTTAGCTAGGCTTACCACATTTATATACCACATTATGTATCACCTCTCTAATAGAGGTGGAGCCTGGCAAGGGCGGAGCCAATTAAGGCCTAGGAGGGTCATATGACCCTTCTGACCCAATGGTAACACTTACAGTTTAGGCTTTTGTTTGCTCATTTTACTTTTATTTATTTTTATATTACTCCATTTACTTAAGTTTACAATGTAAATAAAGAAGTACCCCCCATTTGGATTCAAATAAAAATGCTAGAAAATCAAATTCCCACCAAATCAAATTATGAAAAATCGGTTTTAGTGTAAAATATATACGATTTAGGCTAAAAATGATGGCTCATTCAGTCAATATATACTTCATACTAAAATCCCATAAAATCAAATTTTCTTATTTGATGTGTGAGGAATAAAAGCTGCCAAAAATTATCTTCAGAAAATGATTATTCCGAAAACCCATTTTTCATACTTAGTCAATATTTTTACATAAAACAATTTTTCATGTATGATAAAACTTATTGAAAATTAGTTTATGGAGCTATGAGCTAGCGTGGTTTATATGATTTAATGTTTATTTTTATTTCTACAAAGACTATAGAAATTGTAAGCACATACCAAAAAAAATAATCATTAAATTTTAAGCTAATAACTTTAGCTAGCCCACCCGTTGAAAAATTCCTGGTTCCGCCCTTGATGAAGCATATGGAAGTGGGTGGTAGAGCAACTGGTTTGACCTTCTACCACGTAAGTGTTTTTATTCATGTTCAGTTTAATTAGCAACATCTTCCAATACTGTCTTAAAACCCATTAATATTTTTGGAACAACAACCATCAAAGTTTTCTTATATAATTGAACTTATTCTAAAATATTTATGTAGAAAAACAATGGATACTTAAGATTTTAGGTTGTTAATCTATTATCTTGTAGTTTTATTCTCATGGCACATCCTTGTATGCATTTTTCTTCTCCTCTAAACCATCCTAGTCCAAGTTTGGTGGTGGTATGGCTTTTCCATTTATCTTGGCTAATAATGTTGACCCTCTCCTTGAGAGAATTCCTGGCTACGCCACTGGAGCCTGATACAAAATGTGGTATGCCCAGCTAGCATTTTCCTTTAAATAGTTAGAAAATAAAAACCCTTCATGCTGCTGAGTTGAGCATATTGTATATATCACCTTTTGTTCATAACTGACTTAATTTAGGACAACTTAGATGGTGCATATGGGTTTTTAGACAAGTTCTTTACGATTTATTCTCTCCAGCCAGATCATTTCAGCTCTAAAGCTGACTCTGGTCACTGAGAAATTTTTACCTATATTCGTCGTATTACCAATCAAGATGACTCTCTATATACCTTTTTAATTAATCTAATAAAATACTATCGCTTGTGTGGTAAAAAAGAAGGCTACCTACTTCGCTATAAAAGGATCACTTTGATTAGTCGTCTGGCTGAATTTTCCAAGACGATATC